CACAATGGACTTCTATGCCCCCATCAGAAAGAATGACAATGCCCCATTTGTTAGGAAATGGAAAGAGTTGGAAAAAATTATACTAAGTGAAGTAAGCCAGGCCCAAAGAAGCATTCTTTTTAATATTTCAGATATACAATTTTGACACACATCTTTCAGAAGAAGGTACTTTAGGTATTCATAAAAAGGAAAAGCTTTTAGAGACATCACTATTTAACAAAGGTGTTTTCTGCTCAGTTTTAAAATATCACAAAAAAATTGAAATCTTTTTTAATTCATACAAGTAAATGTTCAACATTTCAGAAAAAAAAAGAAAGCTGTGCAATTCAAGAATCAGTGTTACCATATTGACAGAGGAGTTGAAATAGGACCTAAAATACATCCTTGGTAAATCAACAAAAATAATAAATAACTTACTTATTCTGCCCAATTCAGAAGAGAATGCTAAAATTTCAAGTTGAGATCTTCAAAAGAGCTTGAAATCCTTGCTGCAACCCCCACTGGGATAGCCCTTACTAGAAAAATGTACTTAGTGTAATATTTCTAAATGTACATTCCCAATCACTAAGAATAAAAATTTGAGTAAATGTGAAAAATCCTGAGACAGATACAAATACATATAAATGGTTTCAGTAAACTGAAAACTGGAAATCAAAAGATGCAAGCTTAATTTGACAATTTTGACATGATTTATGAATCATGAATTTCTTTATTAAGAAATAATTAAGAGTAAGCATAAAGGTAGAAAGATTTTTAGGGTAAAGTTATGTTCATCCTTAGCACTGTTACTAATACCATTACACTATTTATCATAATCATCATTATTATAAAAATCACAAGCGATATTAGAAAATATCTCAAATGGAATAAAAATATATATTCAAAGAGACATTATATAAAGATCTATGCACAGCCATTATGTACAAGAAGTATCTAATACTAGTCATTGAAGAAATCCAATGAACCCCAAGATAAGGACACAAATGTTTTTTCTTTCTTTCTATTGTTTCTAACGTATTTATAAGATATTTCTTTGTTGCTTTGTATGTCCCTCCCCCATGGTATGACCCCTGTTTTCACTGTATTTGATGTTGGTATAATCTGTGGAGGGAAAGGGAAAAAATAAATTGTTTAAATAGGGATGCAGGTGAACCCATTGCAACAATGAGATGTACAAGATGTTATGTGGAAAAACGAACTTTACAACTTTGGTGGGGGGGGTTAGGGGAGGGAGATGGGAAGGGATGGGAAGGGGAAACAAAGGAGGAGACAACAATGCTTGATAAGAAATGTACTCATGGGCTGGGAAGGTGGCTCAGTGGTAGAGTGCTTGCCTTGCATGCATGAGGCCCTGGGTTCGATTCCTCAGCACCATATAAGAAAAAAGAAAAAAGCCGGAAGTGGCGCTGTGGCTCAAGTGGTAGAGCGCTAACCTTGAGCTGAAGAGCTGAGGGACAGCGCCCAGGCCCAGAGTTCAGGCCCCATGACCGGACCCAAACAAACAAACAAACAAAGAAATGTACTCGTTATCTTGCCCATGTAATTGTAACCCCTCTGTACAATATTTTCACAATAAAAAAAGAAAAAGAAAATAAGATAGTATTAAAAACCAATAGAATAGTTACCATGAAAAAGTTTGACAACAAATGGCAACAAGGATATTAAGCAAACAAAATTCTCATATACTATTGGTGGGAATGCAATAATGGTAAAAGTATTTGCGTAAGTTTTCTTAGAAGTGATAAACTGACTTTATGTGACCCGGAATTTTACTTTTAGAACACATTCATCATCCCATAAAAATGTATATGTATTGTTTTCAAGGTTCATTTCTTTTATGTTTTCATGGACAAATAACATTTTATTTATCTACTCAACAACTGATGGATATTGCTTACAGTTTAAGTTTCTGTGAGTAATGCTTCTATAAATACATATGTACAAGACAGGTGCTAGTGGCTCATACTTGGAACTCTAGCTACTCAGGAGGCTATAATCTGAGGATGTAGGTTTGAAGCCAACCTGGGCAGTAAAGTCTGCGTGATTCTTCTAATTAAACTACCAAAAGAGCCAGAAGTGGAGCTTGGAGCTGTGGCTCAAGTGGTAAAGCAAAAATGTACCTAGAGCAAGAAAGTTCAGGGACAGTGTCAAAGCCCTAAGATCAAGCCCAAGAAGCACCATAAAAAATTTATAAAAATAAACACATGGGCTGGGAAGTTGGCTCAGTGGTAGAGTGCTTGCCTAGCATGCATGACCCTGGGTTCAATTCCTCAGTACCACATAAGCAGAAAAAGCTGGAAGTGGTGCTGTGGCTCATATGGTGGAGTGTTAATCTTGAGAGCTGAGGGACAGAGCCCAGGCCCAGAGTTCAAGCCCAGGACTGGCAAAAATAAATAAATAAATAAATAAGTACATAATGTACAAATTTTGTGTGGACATAGAAATGGAACTACTGAGTCTAATGGAAATTATGTTCAACTTTAAAGAACTGCTAAACTGTTTAAGTGGCTGTAACATTTTACATTTCTACTAGCAGAATATTAGGGTTTGATTTCCTCTTTATCAACCACCAATGTCTGCTATTAACTGCCTTTTTTAGTGTCACTACTCTAGTGATATATTTTGTATTTTTGTTACTGGGGATTGAACCCATGGCCTTGTATAATTTAAACACGTGTTCTATCACTGATCTATAGCTCTAGCTCAACTCCAGTGGTTTTGAAATACTGTGCCATGATAGTTTTGATTTGCATTTTCTTGATGATTAATGAAGTTCATTGTCTTGTCAGTGTTTATTGTTCATTTGCATACCTTTTTTTGGAAAATTTTGCAATCTTATTTTCTTAACAAACATTCTTTATATATTCTAGATATAAGTCCCTGGTCAGACACACAGTTGGCAAATAGTTTCTGTGTTGTATTTTCAACTCTTGATAGTGTCCTTTGAAACACAAAAATGTTAATTTTGACTAAGTCCAATTCATCAGCTTTTTTTTTGGTAGTGTATGATTTTGATGTTATATCTAGCCTACCATCATTGCCTAATACAAGGTCACCAAAACGATGTTTTCATTGAAGAGTTATGTCTGGCTCTTACATTTAACAAATGGTTCATTTTGTCAATTTTTTGCATATACCATGAAGCAAGGGTCCAATTTCATCTTTTTAACATATGGATACCTAGTTGTCCCAGTATCTCTTGCTGAAAACAGCATTCTTTTAATCATAGAATAATCTTGGCACTTTTATTGAAAGCCAATTGATCACATGTATACGCCAAATACATATAGTTGGCCCACTATATCCATGAGTTCTGTATCTGCTGATTTGTCAACCACAGATTGAGAATATTGGGGGTGGGGGGGAACTGTACTTATAGTAAATTTGCAGTCATTTCTTTCTTGCCATTATTTCTTAAATACTGCAGTATAGCAAATATTTATATAAAATTTATATTGCATTAGGTATCACACATATTCTAGAAATAATTTAAAGTATACTGGAGGATATGTTTTAAACACTATGCCATTTTACATGACAGACTCAAGAGTCCATTGCAGAATTTGGTATCCACTACCCACAGAGCATCCTGGAGCCAATACTCTCAAGAATAACAAAGTATGAATGGATTTTTCTAGATTTTCAATTCTAGTTCAATTATCTATGTTTATTCTTATACCAGTCCCATATTTTCTTGATTACTGTTGCTTTATGGGATTTTTATGCACTTTCCTTAGTGTGTATTTTTTACTGGTTATATTCTGGTAAGTAACCTAATTTTTATATATAATATGTGTTATATACTATATATGTTATATACAATATATGTCATAGACAATATAACTCTGGAACTCTTTCTAGCATACATGTTCATACACATTCAAATAAATATCCTCTTTAAGACAACTTTGTATAGGCTGGTCAAAATGGCTGTGAATTTTTAATTTTGATAGACATTAGCAACTTCTCTTTCAAGGTTACCAATTTACACTCCCTCCACAAATGTAGAAGAAAACCTATTTGTCCTATACTTTCTGCAATATTATTTGTAATATTTTCTGTAAAGTCTCATCATTAAAATCCTTAATATAATTTTTATAATTTTAGACAATCCCTTGTTTCAATAAACAGATAAGAGTATGATAATTGTGAAGAAAGACTGATATTATACTGTGTATTTCAATTTTACCTTCTATTGCTTCTATACTCCAGTCTCAAACTGGCCTATAAATACACTCATGAAAATAGTACCTATGAGGGGACCAGTACCTAGTAAATATATATATATTACATACACACAACATATACATCATATTTACAAGTTGTTTAATGTAATTTTTCCAATTAGGTGGTGTGAAAAAATGACTAAGTCTATATAATAGTAAAAATAAGTAAATATTATTTATATTGTTATGTAAAAATATAAAAAATAGATATTACTTGAAAAATTTTCTATATCAAATATAAAATATGGAACTGGTAGTCAACCTTTCATATAGACTAAACAAATCACTTTATTACATGACTTTGCACATCAATAAGTCAGTAGGTATATGCAAAAAAAAGAATTGCTAATGAAATCTTTGCACAGATACCTCTGCTTTGAGGAATAAAACCTAAACAGTTTAAAGTGGGAAAAAATGTTAAATGTTGTAATTTAGGAAAAATGTACATGCTGAAAAATTGGTTACAATGGTATAGTCATCAAACCAACTATATGTAATGATTAAAAGTCATAAAGTCTGTATAGATATATAAAGTCTGTAGTCATATAAAAATACTGTTTCTGGTTTAAAAGATATAGAATTGTATTAAAATTGTATGTATATGATTATGCATGCATATAATCATAAATACTTTGAAGGCATATAAAAATAAAAATATAGTAACAAATATGGGTGATTTTTCTCTAATTTGATACTTTTAAAAGTCTTTTAGAATTTAATCCATAACCAGGTAACATATTCATACATGTCACTTTATAGTAAAAATATACTTACTGTGATGATGCCAATTAGTTGAGTATAAAAGAGTCCAGATATTCCAACTAACATAGTAATGCCCATAAAGGCAGCTAGTCTCATTATGGCCAATTCATGTCTAACAACAAAGAGGTCCTACAAAGAAAAAGAAAACCTTAAAAACAATTTGAAAAGCTTCTTATTGTTGCAATAATAATCTAAATTTAGCCATGACATAACTTCCTGTTTGTTTTTTTTTTGGTCCGTCATGGGGCTTGAACTCTGGGCCTGGGCGCTGTCCCTCAGCTCTTAGCTCAAGGCTAGCGTTCGACCACTTGGACACAGCACCACTTCCCGTTCTCTAAGTGGTTTTCATTGGAGATAAGAGTCTCATGGAGTTTCCTACAGGAGCTGGTTTTGAACCACGATCCTCAGAACTCAGTCTCCTGAGTAGCTAGGATTATAGGCGTGAGCCACCAGTGCCTGGTTCTCTTAATTATTTTAAAACAAAAATTCATAGCTATCTCTGACCCTCTTGATTTTGTTCTAGTTATTCAAAATATATCTGAAATTTTCAAAAATAATTTAGTAAGTTGAAAACGTTAAGACTTCACAAGTCTATGTAAAAAAAAAAAACACCCTCAAGGTTACGTTACCCTTGTTTTTAAACTAATTTAAATAAATCACAGATAGCAACCAATATTTAATCACAAAAGAAATTTCACTATTATAAAATTAAAATTTTGGAATGTACAAGCTTGATTCCTATTATTAAATTTCAAGTAATCCAAATACACTGAAATAATTTCAGGGGAATACACATAGTACAATCTTAAGAATAGCCCTCTTTAAGCCTCCCTCAATCATTCTTACACCTAATTAAATATTACACCAAATACCACAAAGAACTATGATACTTAGAATGTAAAGATGTAAACATATCGCCTATGTTCTCAGAATGAGTTTTATTTACAAAGAAAACTCAATTTTGTGAAATTCCAGATGATACAATATGCATATGGGCAAGGAGAGGTGGAAATGGTGGAGAAAGCTGATTTTCCGGTTCAGGACATGAAAAAGAAGGCCAACTATGTACTGTGGGGGGACGGAAAAAATAAATTAAAAAAAAAAGAGGCATTTCATTTACCAGCAGTGTTAACCAAATAGAAGAGAGAATCATATAATTCCATTTTCTCCTGGAAACCTGTTGTGGTTGACTTTGGAGTAAAACACCCACAGTACCTAAGGTAAGAAATAGATTGGAAGAGCCCCCAAAATACAACCACCTAGATGCATTCTTTTAAAATGACTGATGGATTAGAGGTGTCTCAGTAGCAAAGTAGAGAGGCCACTGAAAAATAATATACTTGCTTAAAACAAAGAACTGATGCTTTTCTATGTATTACATTGATACACTACTAGATTCAAAACAACTATCTGGACCACAACCAAAATCACTTTTTTAAAAAAAGTTAAATTTAGCAAAACATTTAAGTGCTACAATGTAGTCAGATATTAGGCAATTATTTCAAAACTTCAACAGAAGGGTCTTTTTTTCTCCTATTTGTGTTAAGAAATGTGTCTGTACACAAATAAATGCATAAATTTTATGCTCAGTATTAAAAGGTAATTCTATCCTCATCTGAAACCACAATCAGCTTCCTGGGCATTACTTCCCCTCACTATCTGTCCCTCACCTCTACCCTAAAGATTACTGATCCTGTCTTTATGCACTCTGAATACTACTGGGTCAATCACATATAGAAAATATTTTCTCCCACTCTGAAGTTAACTAACTGTTCATACTTTTTAAGGTGCCTGTTAATATATGTAAGTTCTCAATTAATATAATCAAATTTATCTTTTCTTTTGCTGCTTTTTCTATATCTAGGAAACTTTTCTTGACCCTAAAATAACAATATTCTCTTATATTATCTTCCAAAGCCTTCAAAAGCTTTATTACAAGTTTTGCCTTTCACCTTCAGGTCATTAATACACCCAAATAATGTTTTGTATTATCAGTGTATAGTAAAAGGCAAAGATTTGAATTTATTTTTACTAGACAAATAATTTTACTCTACAAGTTTAGCCAATTCTAATAAAGTTTACTGAAAAGCTGTGTTTTCCACAGTCATCAAGTGTACATATGCATGCAGATGCCTGGATCTGATATGGCTTCTTATTCTGCTCCCGATTTGTTACTGTTCCAGTGAAAAGTTTCTGGGATTTGAAGAAAGTCTTGATCCCTAGTAGGTCAAATGCTAGAGCTTGAACTCAGAAGCATACGCGCTTTTCCTTACTTAGCTCTTTCACTCAAGGATGGTACTCTACCACTTAGGTAGAGTACCATTTCTGCTTTTTGTTGGTTAATTGAAAATAAGTTTCATAGACTTTCCTGCCTGGGCTGGCTTTGAGCAGTGATCCCAGATCTCAGCCTCCTCAGTAGCTAGGATTATAGGCCTGAGCTAGCAGGGCCTAGTATTATATAACCAATTTTTTAACTGAATTTTTAAATTATAACATATTCAGACATATATTCACATATAATATTCTTTCCAATTAGGTTTAAGTTTCACCAGGAAGTCATGTATTTATCTTATGTAAAAACAAGTGATTTTAAAAAATATTTTAAGGTTACAAGTTTAAAAGTTTCTTAAAAGTCCCAAAGAATCTACAGATTTATTATTTATATTATTTGAAAGTAATGCAGTTTTGTTTCTTTCAGCAGTTATAACTTCTTTTTCTTTTCTTGCTTTAGTAAATGGCTAGAACTTCTAGTACTATGTTGATCACAACAGTAGCAGTAGTTACAAATGCCTAGTCCTCAAACTCAGGAAAAGAAGTCAACACTGCATTCCAGCATGTATACGTGGTTGAGTATTTCATTTTTCTTCTGGGAACCTTTCTATCATTTAGCTAATTTAGAAAGTTAAGATCCGGTTGTAGTTTGCTAAGAGTTTGTAACACGTATCACACTGAATTTTATCTTTACTTTCATTCACTGAGATATTCATTTGAATGTTTCTGTCAACTCTGTTAAAGTGATAAGCTATATTGACTTCCAAATGCAAAAATTGCTTTTTATTTTAGAAATAAAGTCAACTTGTTCAGTCTGATTCAGATTGCCAATTTTTAAGGAATTGTTTATCTTTGTTCATCAGACTAGTCTATAATTTTCTTTACTTTTCCTGATAGGTCTTATATCCAGGATAGGCTATATTCAGGAGTTTATATGGCTCAAATTATTATTTCCTTTCATATTTGATGGAGCTAGAACTTACTAGTTAGCATGTAAATTTGCCCGCAAGAAAAATATTACCTACTTACTTATGACTCAGGATGCTTCCAGTTTATTTTTGAAGCAAATATTTGTAGATCACAGAATTCAATCATGTAAAGATGTCAACTATTCACACTGATCTACAAAATTAATATAATCCTAAAACAAAAATAAATCCCTATGATAGTACAGAGCATATTGTGTTGGCAAGATTTTTTTGTTATAATTTTTAGAAATTGCTTTGCTGTTTCTAAAACACAAAGAATAACATAACACTCTTCTATGAATAAACTAGGGAAGAAGGTCTGCTCTATTGCATGCATTTTCAACAGGGCCAGGGTCAACCCCAAGTAGGAGAAAAAAAATTAGCTGAAGGTTCTACACAAATAAATCTTACCGGACAGAATCTGTCTCTGTTAAATTCACTGGGGAGGGAGAAGGGGAAAATGTCTGAAAAGAATACTTCAGAAGACAATTGATAATAATTTTAAAAAGACTGAAAATACTGCTTTACTAGATAACAAGATTATAAAACTATAATAAGGTTACAGTTATAATGACAGTGTAGTATAATCATGAGGAAAGAGGAATAGACCATGGGGCTAGAAAAGAGCCAGAACCAGACACACACACATGTGGATGCTGATTTATGAGAAAGTAGGCACTGCACAGCAGAGGAGGAAAGAATTATCTTTTTAATGCATGATGTTAAGTCAACTGGATGTTCATCCATGAAACAATGAAACTCTGATTCCTATCTTACCAGAATCACAAAAAATCAATTCCAAGCAGAAATGTAAAAGTCAGCAAATTATAGTACCTGCATGACAACGTAAAAGAATTTTAATTTAGAAAAACTTTTTAAATTGAGCTCAAAATTACTGCCCCCACTTAAATAAAGACTATTAAGTTAGGGTTCATTAAAATTTAAATTTGAGAAAAAACCTGAGGAATGGAGCTGGGGCTCAAGTTGTAGAGTAGTCACCTTGAGCAAAAAGATTAGCTATCCTGAGTTTAAGCCCCAGTACCAGTAGCAGTAGCAGTGCGTGCATGTCGTACACGTACACGTACACACACACACACACACGCGCGCGCGCGCACGCACACACACACGTCCCACAGAAAATACTTATAACACATAAAGAAGTTCTAATCTAAAACATCATGGAATTATAAGAAAAAAAAGTAGGCAATGTTACAATGGAACTTCCCCTTATCCAACTAATGTATGCTAAAAAAAAGTAGGCAAAGAGGTTGGAGGCCTGGCTCAGGTATAGAGCACCAGTTGAGGAACAAATAGCAACAAATAAGAGTTCAAGTTCCAGTCTCCCGCAACAAATAAGAGTTCAAGTTCCAGTCTCAGACAAAAGAAAAAAAAAGTAAGTAAAATACTTACACAGGTGCACCTCATCAAACATCTCATATGATTCATAAATATATGAAAAAGAGCTCACTTCCATTAGTCTTGTAAGAAATGAGAATTAAAAGACTATGAAGTTCTGTTCACATGTATCAAATACCTAATATAAGGAATTCTTAAGTACTTATATGTAAGTTGAATTTCAACTTATATAAGTCTATTGGTAGTAACACTGAACATTAACCCTTGTAGCTAATCACAAGCATGAAACACACACACACACACACATATGAACAGCAAGAGGCTTAGCTGAATAAGGTGGACTGAGGTTGGTGGCCAGACTGGGACATGGCCCCTTCTCAACTACTAGCTGAGCTTGGTGGTATGAGTGTATCAACTCAGCTATGGAGAAGGCTGCATCAGAAGAACCAGGAATTCAGGTCAGCATGTGCAAAAAGAAAAAAAGAAAAAAAAGACTGCAAGACTCCATCTCGATTGAAGTGGCTAGGCATAATG